ACTTTCATTCAGCAGCGGATTGACAAATGGTTGTGATTTATTATTATGCTGCTTATTTTTTCCCCCCAATATAAAATGGATGCAACTGCTAGGATTACATCTTTACTTTGGATATGTTCAAGGAAAGCACATAGGCCAAAAAAAAATATCGTTGAAAATTTCCATTAAAACGGAGATATTCTTTAGATAAACGCAAGTGAATAACACAGCAGCCATTGTATACCGACAGCAGTAATTGAAGGCGGATCGACATCAGACGAGTGTGGGTTGGAGTGTTTTTGGGGAATATGAACGCGCCAATGTATCGAAAGAAAAACTTTTAATAGACGCATATAGTACCTGCTCTGAAATATGGATAATACGTGATGATGATGATAATGTTTCCGTAGAGGCAATGAAAAAAAACTACGAGAGTTCGCCATGAGAGAATTGAGCCTCTAATGGATCAGAAACTGGGACACATCTGACAAAGATGGAACACAGGTGCGCAGAGATGCTTGCCATCACACTGGGCGACCAAAAGAATTGGGAGCACTTGGATTCAAGAACATGATTCTGTTGAGACACCAATTGGACTTGGTCAGCACACATTGCTAGATTAGACATTGGCCATTGGGGAGAGTAGCGATCGGATGGAGGCCACAGGGAGAATATTCGTGGAGCCACATTCAGTCCACGCGATTGGCTGCCCAGCTTGTTATCACGATCAACGTCAGCTCTTTCATATATAAAGAGACCCGTATAGCCTGAGCAGACTAATGGGACAAGTGCTGTTAGCGAGCAGCACCTATGAAGGTCGGCACGACACACAAAAGGAAGGGTGGCCATAACTACGCCCGCCACCTTTGTCTCCCGAGTGCCGATGTTTCTACATCGCACCGGGTACTCAATTGAGGCTGAGTCGGTCTAGTGGAGGCCCAGGACAGGGTTCAGATAATCGTCACTGGTGTTGACAGTGAACGGGAATTGAACCCAGGTCGCCAGGTTTGTAGCGCAGCACCGCTCCACGTGACATTTCTATGCACACATGAAAATAAAGTGTTCCAACACCACAGGCTGAATTAATGTTGATGTTTGTAAAGAGGGTCGTAAATCCAACATCAATATAACGGAGCGAACCGAACAGGACTGACTAAGCGAATGTCATTTTCAAAGTTAGGATCGCACTAGAATGCAGGCTGGAGCAGACCAAACTAAGCTTTTATTCGAACAGCTTAAAATTATTTAAAAGAAAGCCATTAGTTTAACAATGTAAAATGATATTCAATGGAACAGCCTAAAATTAAAGTTACATTCTCATGGTAGTATAATGTGCATTCAATCACGTAGATTTGTTTTATATATTCACAAAGATTATTTCCTTTTATTAAAAAAAAATGTAGGATTTGCTTCCAGTGTTCCTCAAAGATAATTTAATGCACAACTGAGCTTTAAAGTGAATGGATATATTCTGAAAGATTACTGTCGTTTGATCGGAATATTATTTAAAGATCATTTGTGACGGGAAGAATGTCACGCGTTCAAGTCTGTCCAAGCATAAGCGATGCAGTTGGAACTTTTAAGGGCCTTGAACACATTACCAAACTTGAAGAGCGTAATGCATATATTTTTCAACAAAGTGGGTATCTGAAATTATACGTATACATTTAAGTGTCCTCGTTAGTGGAGGCAGTCAAAGTAGGCCAATTTAACAATGCTAAAAGGGGAGATATCTAATAAGTCGACCAAATAATACATCATTGACCCAGGATAACCTTCGCTGAGTCTCAAGGCTCTCGGACTCAAGAGGACCGGACATTGAGGTGTTTGGCCAATGCAATTCCTTCAGAAGAAAACAAAAACTGCGCACAGACAACCCGCTTGCAGTACTGCTCTCCCCACCGTGCAGTCCAGCGAGTTTGGGAATTGTCTCAGATCTCTGTGTGGTGATCCACCACTCTTGCCTCCAAAGTTCTGTGATAACTAAGAGACGTGCACCGCCAGGCTAGACATTTTCCTTCCGACCATACATGTTTTATATACATATTTAAAAAACATCACTCTCTGCCACGCCACGTTTATTAAACACATTCCCGCAGAGGGAGATGGTAGGAACGTTGGGCTGCACGGTCAATGGCCAGGGTCAACGGCGGCGTGGTGTATTCCGCAAATATGCCCGACTGTGAGGGCGGGCACAAGCCGGCGTGAGTAGGTTATACGTTGAGTTTTATAAGGGAACCACGGGGTGACCAGCGCCTCCCCACCCAGCCCCAGCCCTCCCACCCCCACCCAGCCCCACCCTTCCCACCCAGCCCCTCCCCACCCAGCCCCTTCCTGCACGACGGACACAATAATCCCCTGTGGACTGGTGTAACCAGGAGGTTCCTACCTGTAACAGGCGACTTGAGAGAATGTGGTAGCCGTGGGAGTCCATTATCCTCATGAATACATTTGTCCAGGCATACGTTGGAAAATAGGAATTTATATGAGGGTCCAACTGGCTCGTAACTTTGTAGCCACTCCACCACCCCTCCTGTGAAGATTCTCCTAAATCCGACAAAATGTTGGGATTGTGGCGTGGGATATTGAGACTGGACGGATTTATTTTAATGTATTTTCTCTGTGATGAGCATTTTCTTGTTGTGTGTATTTTTTTCTCGTTATTTAAGTATTCATGTTTTAGTTTTGGATTTGATAAGTAGTGGGCTTTTGTTGTTGTATTAACTGCATAAGGGATTGGATAATTGATGTGCAGCGTTGTGGAATGCAATTGCATAAATGACGAGATATAAAATGTAATTATTATGATTATCACGAGTGAGATCCTGGGTTCATATCAGGGGTTTCGGGCACCCATGATTAAACCGTCTCTTCCCAGGAACCAATGTCTAACTAAATGATAAGCCACTTCATTGAGCTGTCATTTGTGGCCAGGTCGCTTCTGAAAAAGAGCTATATTGCTCAGTGGGCCTTACCTGCCAAAAACATTTTTTCGTTTAAAATTAACACAGTTGCTGTAACGTAGTTAGATCATGATGGGCTGAATTAATCACTGACTGGGATTTGAACTTGTGTGTTGCTGCTTACGAGGCAACCCTCACTGTAGCGCCACGCTAGCCACTTAATTTCTTCTCTCTTGTAACATTGAATAATGTTCAGCTCTTTGTTAATCCACTGCTGGATGAAGGCCTCCCCACGCACTGTTGGTCACGGGGGTTGTTTGACCAGACCATGTAGATTATTGCAGATTAGTGAGGGGCCAACCCATGACTGGTGACGAAATCACTCACTTTCTGACGCAAGTCATGGCCGGGAATCGAACTCAAGTCATTCGGTTGAGTGCACAGAGCGCCGATTTCCGCACCAGCATTTCCCTTTCAGTGAACTCAAAATTCCAGGCTCTTCGCTACGACACAAGCAGCCACATTGGCATCATTCGTTTGTTCATGTACATCACGTGACCACGCAGAAATTACAAAAAAAATACTTTACGTACTTTTATTTCGCATTCTCTTGAAGCGTGTGCCGAGCCATGCAATGTCACTTACTTGCTCACGGACAGATTGTCGGATGGACGAACGTGTGATTTCATATCGATTGTGTTTATCATCGTGGGCCATAGAAGGCCATAAATCTGGTGCCCAAACTCTGAGCATTGGAGCCAGAAAGTGATTTCTTCAAGGTACAGCTTCCATGATTTAAACTGCAGTCTCTCAAGGAACCCAACATTTTTTGCCCACCATTTACACTGCCTGTCAAAACTAGTGAATAATTAAAATCTAAATACGGTACGGGTACAAAAAACTGAAGTCGGGCCGACAAGGAGGACGTTTTGTTTGTAAATAAAGAGGGACATGGCGAATGAGCAATGATTGCGAGATTCTTCACAGCAAATCGTCTGTAAGACCACACCGATGGACTCCTCAATGAAGGATCATAAAAAAGGCTCACCAAATGAAACTTCAATCCCAGTAATTCCATTGGAGCTTCTCGACCAAACTTCTCCATGAAGCTTCTTCGTGAAGTTCCTCTGAAGAATGTTCCCACAAAGACTTCCCCAACAGCCACATCAATTAGGCACCCTATTGTGGCTATAATTCAAACGTGAACAGGTGAACTAGTTGCAGACCGTACTGCACACATTGTGTTTCCGCTTTATTCGTGTTCCACAACAAACAAAGGCACAAATCCACAGTATAGCCTGAACAGTCTGTTGTCCTGTTAGTGAGCACCTACGAAGGCCGGCACAGAACACGAGGGGGTGGGTGGCCAGCAAATCACCCGCCCGCCTTTATCTCCCAAGTGGCAATGTTTACACATCGCACTAGATACTCATTTGAGGCTGAGTCGACCTAGAAGTGGACCAGGAACGTTTCAGACAGTCTTCACTGATGTTGGCCCTGAGCGGGATACAAAATCGGATTCGTATTGCAGCGGGCTAATCGCTGCACCCGTAACACTACATGCACGCACGTGCGCACACACACACGCACGTGCACACACACGCACACACGCACGTGCACACACACACACGCACGTGCACACACACACACGCACACACGTGCACACACACGCGCGCACGCACGTGCACACACACACACACACGCACGTGCACACACACGCACACACGCACGTACACACACACGCACGTGCACACACACACGCACGTGCACACACACGCACACGCACACACACACACACGCACACACACACACGCACACACACACACGCACGTGCACACACACACACGCACACACGCACACACGCACACACACACGCACACACACACACGCACACACACACACGCACGTGCACACACACACACGCACACACGCACACACACACGCACACACACACACACGCACGTGCACACACACACACACGCACGTGCACACACACACACGCACACACGCACACGTGTACTTACTAATGCATTCCTACCCGGGAGATGTCAGGATTAGGAACAACAAACCTGGCCGGTTCCCTGACTAAGGCGAAGGCGTTGCCAAGACTCAACTGACCTTCATAGAGCAACTTGAAGCCTTGCCCGCTGATCGCAAAGTCACTCGTGAGGCGGAGGCCCAGGACGTTTCCAGAGCTGATGATCGCGGCCGGCAGTTGGAACCCCGTGAGCCTGCGGGCAGCGGAAAAAAAGAGCGGTGGGGCGAACAGAGCGAGGCTTTAATCGCGGTCCATATACTCGCAGTGCTATTGAACGCGCAGCTTGGGCAGCAGAACCCCGGTCGTTCCTTGAGCCGTTGGCCAAAAAATAGCTTATGGGTACCATCTCAAGTGGCAGATGCTAATAATGAGTTTCTTCAAACATCGTGTCTCTTGGAGGGCAAATATGTGTGCTAGCAAAGTCGTCATGGGAGCTTGTTAGAAAAATAATAATGAAAGGGTATTGTAGTTCGGGGAAGAAGAAACAACTCATGGACGTGAACAATCTACGGAATATGAGAATAAATAGCGTGCTGATTTATATAAATATAAAAAAACTACAGACGGTATAATAAGCTTTCTGTCCATGGTAGATACTGTCCGCAGTGAGTACTAGGAGCATTTGCCACCTTTGGTTGGTACCCGACAAGCCCCTTGGCGAATGGGGTATACGGCTGATGCATTGATATGAGGGCGTTAGTAGACACTTAGCTGTGGAAGTTTGCACAACAGCACTTAGGACATCATGTGTTTACATCATGGAGGAGTGGAATAGTCTGCAACCCAATACCACACTACCTCAAGGCACAACTCAAAACAAAAATGCAATAAAAGCAATCAGTATGTTAGCAAACACATGCAAACATCCTACAGCATAGTAGCATAACCCAAACACACAGCACAATACAATACCAACACACACCCAACACACTACGCTCGCATACTATTCTCACATTTCATCAACAGACAGGTTATGAATTATTATCCGATGGAACTGGATGCATCGATAATAATATATATGTAAAGTAATGTTTCGTTTTATATATAAGACGACATTGTTCCTGCCAATCGCATCTCCGAGTCGCTAGGGAACCACCGACAAGCAGAAGGCAGCAGCCAAGGTGCTGAGCCAGTGCCAACAATCGCTGACAGAATCAGAATGTTTATTTACACTGGAGGAATCCGATGAGCTATAAAGCTCTTTTGTCAAAGATGTCAAGTCGGGTGGATCAGCACGTTACAACAACGCATGGTACCAAAACACGTTAGGTGTGCAAAGTATAGGAAAGGTAAGCAAATTATTAAAACAAATAAAAAATTATCTTGATTTGAAGCTTTCGTGACTGCAGGAATCCATACTATTTGGTTCATTCGGTAAAGTCACGTAGGTAGAAAAATAAATAATTTATTTTATTTGATAAAATAAAAATAAACTAATTTTGTTTCCAGGTAAAGTCCACTGAGCTATTACCTTCTTTTTCAGAAGCGACCTGGCCACAAATGATAGCTCAACGCAGTGGCTTAACATGTGGTAATTTATAGTAGCAAAATAATCGAAATAATCTATCAATTAAAATGTTTTCAGACAATTAACGAGCGTTCATATCGGGGTGATTACACATGAGACGATCATTCATGGTGATTTGATCATAGACAACTTGAAACTTTAATCGCAACACAAAGCGACATACATCACACAACTCAACCACACAACCATAACAAATATAATTTGCTTACATCTTCCGTACAGCCCTAACAGTCTGTCGGGGCAAGTGCTGTTAGCGAGCACTTACAAAGGCCGGCACGGCACACGAGGGGGTGGGTTTGCGAGCACCACGCCCAGCCACCTTTGTCTCCCTCGTGGCGAAGTTCTTTACACACCGCACCAGGTACTCATTTCTGACTGAGTCGAGCTAGGGGAGCCCCAGGACCAGTTCAGATAATCGTCACTGGTGTTGGCCATGAGCGGGAATCGAACTCTGGTCGCCGGGTTCGTAGCGCAGTGTAGCGCTAACCTCTACACCACCTTCTCCCCACCGCACACAGCATAACACAATCTGAACGCAACACGCGCGTAATCCCGACGCGAAACTCACCACAAATCAACATTTCCCCCACCACGCAGCACATGGACACACTGGCCCCTGCCATGGAAACGTTAATTTCCCACCAACTGAGAAGACCATTGCCCCCTTGCTCTGTAACCAATGGAGACACTTTGACGCTTTCACCAAATTTCTTGGCTGTTTTTATTGTGGGTGCAGTGGGGGGTATCTTCAGTTATACATTCTGCGATCATTTTAATTCCATCACATTTCCAACAATTACGCTGCACCCCCAAGCTACGTCTTCGTGTGAGGGCACCGTTCGGTCGGTGAGTGGCTACCACACGTTATTTCCCGGCCTCCCCACACGGTCGAGATTGACTGGTCACATCACCCCCTCTGGGAAGGTGTTCCTTGAACAGATGGCCATCTGCTATGGGAACGTGGAATTTCCAGCATAAGCTTCGGACTAAGAATTCTCCCACTGATTGGTTAAGCAGGACAATACTCCGACAATCACTTGAATAAACACTTCTTAGCAATGTTGGGTCAGAATGCTGACCCATGTGGCCATTAAACACACTTTCCATACGCTCTGTGTTGTGTTTTTTTTGTATTCCACCACATTGCCAACAATTACGCTGCAACCCCGGCGATGCGTCTCCTCCGTGTGAGGGCACCGTTAGGTCGGTGAGTTGCGTCCCCACGTGATTTCCCAGGTTGCCAACCTCCCAGCCTCTCCAAACAATCGAGCGCAGTAGCCACCTGGGCGTCCCACTGGGTTTAGCCCCGCGTCACGGCCTCACTCCACTCTCACCCCTGCCTGCAAGGGTCACGGGCTCGGGACACTACACTATTTGTATGTTCGTTTATTTATTTTTTACTTCTTCCTCTATGCGTCTGACCTATGACTTGCCCTGCAAAACGGAATTAATGACCTTTCGCAAAAAAATACAAACCTAATATTTTGGGTTGCATTTTTTTTAAGCGCTGGAAATTGCAGTCGAACGCAGCTAGCACAGACGACGTGGACATCCCAGGATTACCTCTGTGAGGCATCTAGAGGCGCGTTTTTTGTTCACATTATAATCATCTGCACGATATATATATGAGCACACAAACCTATGACTGAGAATCACAAATGTTGTGCAACAGCAGAACCCCCAAAGCGTGCGAGCGTTTCATGAGTATCAATTTTTTTTTCTATCTACGTAACTTTACCCGAAAGAACCAAGACTCTGACTATCTAACCACCTAGCGCCCTGGCAACAGAGCTCCACTCACAATTGAAACGTTACAAGTTACAATCTGAGTCGGAGATCGATTGACTGGTTCCATCACCCCATGTCGGAGGGGGGTCGATAAAATAAGTATCACTTTGTGAGAGGACACAGTTAGTGGTGGTGGTTCCTCGAAAAGATCGGCATCTGTCATGGGAATGTGGAATTTCCAGCGCGAGCTTCGGAATAAGAATTGTTCTGCTGCATTATTGAGCAGGACAATACTATGAAAACAATGACTTCAAAAAGCACTCTTCTTATCATCATTGGGTTCGAATGCTGGCCGAAGTGGCCATTATAAACACTGACTCGCACAACACGGGCCCCGAGGGGTTAGGGAGTGGGAAATTGGCTCACTGGTCCAGTGAACTTAACAGGGCAGTGGGAGAAGAGCTGTCCTACATTACACAGCCGATAAATTATATTGTATGGGGATTTTCAAGCACCCATGATCCATACAACATGATTAATGATTTGATATATATACACACACACAAACTCACTTCCATACATATATCCAATGTTAACATGATTAGAAAAAGTGTACTTCCACAAGAACATTATTCTTTAAGATAAGCGTGACTATATTGTCAGTAAGAATGTACCTAAAACGCGGAATAAAAGAGTAGTTTGTAACTATTGTTATTATTATCACGTGTTCAATCACAACCAAAGGAATCGCCGGATGAAGGCCTCCCCCATGCAGTGTGGGGAAGGAAAATATTTGATCAAACTTCACCAAGTTCGTGAAGGTGATTTTGGGGGAGTGCCCAGGGCTGATTCATATAATCACTCGTCTCTGATAATAATTTCAGTATCCAATCACGACGAGAGAGAGCGACTCGCAGGCACGAGACACCACGGACAAGCGGATAGGCAGCCACATCGTGAGATGGCACCAACCAATGCCCGAGCTCTGCAGTTCTCCGCACATTAAGGCATTCGCAGACAAATAATGAGTGTTCACACGTGGGAGGAAACCGGAGCGCCCTGAGTAATCACACGCATTGTGAGGGGGAAACGCTGTATCCCCGTACAGACGCTACAGGTGGCGACCACATTGTTCTGCCTTGCCGCCTTCTCCTGGCGAGCCACGGTACGGGCTTCTCCTCGACGCTCACGGGGAAGGAAGTTTCACAGCAAAACATCTGCGCGATGCACGAACCCTCACCGTGCTCAGATACAGGCGTGCACCACCAACTGACGTTAGCAGAGGCCAAGCATCAAACTCAAGTCACCGGGCCTGTGACGTAGTGTGATCACCACGAAGCTACCACGCACTTTTATATGATTTTTAAATAATAGTTTTAAGATGTTTCAAGTCATGTGAAAGATGCGGCTGTGTGGCCTAGATGTCAAAGTTATGTTCTAGTCTCAGCCTCGTCAACAAATGTTTTATCGATAAATATATAAAGTCACGTGCAATTTGTGTTTTCAGTTGATTTGGCAGGAAGATTTAAACATTGATTTTGCGACAATGCGTACTGCATGGTGAAGTTTCCCCCCTCCCGTGTGAAGCATAAAAAAAGGCATTTGAAGGATTATTTCTGAAGTCCCATGACGCTAATAAATTGTCTGGCTAAGGCCTAAAAAAAATGGGCAAAATTCAATCCGCAAATTATAAAAAAAATATCTAAAAAGTATATGTATAGCATTTACAAATATGAAATCCCAATATCTAATTACGTTCAATTCTTCGGGGAAATTAGGTTCAAGTCTTATGGGAAATTATTAACAATTCTTTACTCATCCACAACATCCTGGGCAAAGTCTCTTGTTTCATGGGGGAATGTTTACTCAAATTTTCATTGTGTATTTTGTCTTGTGGGAGGAAACCAGAGTAGCCGGAGAAAACGCACATACATGCG